TACTGGCCACAAACATTTGCAGTATTCTGTGCCTCGGAGGAACTGAGCTGCAGCCAACCAGGGGCGGAACCCAAAGGGATTGGTACAACACTTGGCCCAGAGCAGGGTTTCTTAAACATAAGCTTATAGGCACACACCAGAAGTTTCTTTCTTGGCAGATCTAAGCGCTGAAAAATGTGGCAAGGAGAGCAGGATGTTCAGTCAAACCTTTAATAACAAACAGCTGTAATAAAGTCTGGGCTTCCTACAAGTCAAAATAAATTTTGCCACCAAGCTAAGTGAAGCCAGTGCTTCAGCTCACATAGCTTGGAAATGTCACGGTGGAGAGGACTCACGTTGTGAATTTTCTCCTCCCATTTGAACTTTGTTTCTTTTTCTGCCACCTTTACTTCTCCTGTTGCCATCGCGATGCAGCATGCCACCGAATCTTTTCATAGCAGCTGGCATTTTACAGCTACAAAAACAATCCTTGTCACATCATTTGCATCTACTGCAAGTGGGAGATTTCAAAGACTGCTTCAGCTCTGGTTATTGGACTTCAGAGAACAAGCGCAGGAGACAAATAACTTGCTGAACTTCACTGGCACTCTTGACACTTTTTTGGTAAGAAAAGAAACTAGGGCTGAAGTCAGGCTCTTGTGTAAACCTCTGGTTGGTCACTTAAGTTGAACCATCCAAAAATCACAGAAGACTCTTTCCTTCCCCCAATTTTTTTCCATTCCCTTGTTCGTTTTGGAGACAAGCACTATAGGAAGACTACAGTAAGGTGTTTTCAGGACAGCTATGTGTCTTTAGATTTGTTTGCATCACAGTAAAGTCCTGACCTGCCAAGAGCATTTAGCCCTGTATCTTGGTCCCGTATGAGGTCCACGTTTTGCAGCTGTTAGGCAGCAGAGCTGATTAATGCTATGATTTAGAGGTTGCCTAATAGAATCTTTAGCCCCAGAGTAAAATCCACAGTGATGCTTAATGAAAAATTTTAAGCTTTAAAAATAATGTGTTGGGTTGAAAGTGAGTAGACACAGCTGCCAGCCAGGCCCAGTTCTGGGGTAATGAGCAGTTGTCCACTCCAGTAGCTGCCCTAAGAGAATGTACCTTTACTGTGCTGAACACATTAACTTGTCCTGGAAAGAAAATCAGGCTGCTGGTGAGGAGCAAGATGAACTGTGACCTGTCCCTTGGCATCTTCACTATGAGCAGCAGGAAGAACAGGAAGGAGCAATGCCCCTGGGAAGAGTATGTTAGGGGACAAAGGGTCTGTTGCAGGAGAAGGAAGACCTAATGGTGAGATTTTCTCCTCTGCTCCTTTAGGATGGAATAAACTTGGGTCTTTGGGTGCAGTTCAGTACCACCAGGGAAGTGCAGATTAGGGATTCCAACTAACCTTGTGATCACTTCCTACCCCATGTTCATTGACTTGAGGGTGCTGTCAAAGCTTCCCAGATGGTGGGAGGTCAGATGAGAATGCAGATCTTTGTATTGAACTACTTGGTTATGTTATGTGTTGAAGTGTAAAGCCTTCTTGCAAAGAGGGGACAATAACAAAGATTTCCAAAAGAAATGTAGAAAGTGTCCTTAGAGAAGAATCAGGTGTGCCTGACTTGCCTGCTCTGTAAAGGCTTTCACTGGCATTAGCTCATTAACTCACAAATGTAGGACAGCCAAATTATGGTTTTGTCCTCACAGTAACATGAGCATACTGATTCAAGTGGGTCATGGGCCTGTCTGTAAATAACACCTACAAAGTCAGGTTTGTGTATGAGGGACATGACTTGAGAGTTCTTTGGGGGATGCTGTTGCTGAGTGATCAACAGGACTCTGCCCGCTGCTCCAGCACCCCCAGCCATTACCTCAAAGACAGCTCTGTGATGTCTGAACCTCTGCAACTATGACTAACATCACCTATAAATAAATCAATCGCTATCCTTCAGCAGGCAGCCACGGTGTCTCTTCTATTCCACCTTACCAAGTCTTCACTCAGTCATGACACCTGCAGACTCCTTGTGCTGAGACAGGACCCAGATGCTGTGGATTTGCCTTATTAGAGAGAACTTTTAAAAGTTAAGACGGAGCTTAAACAAGATTGAAGCAAACTATGTGGAGACCAGATCCTAAATATAGTTGGAATACCTCCCCTTAATTGCCTGTCGAGTCTCTTCAAACCAAATTCTTCTCCAAATGCCTTTTCAGTTGTTGTTGGAAATTCAGTCCAAGTATAAACCAAATTGTTTTCCAAAATACATTTCTGGAAGAAGCAGATGTGAGCATGCAGAAGAAAAACTATCCTTGAGGCTGCACATTTGATTCTCTCACACTTTGAAAACTTGCTGCATAGGACAAAAGGCAGAAAGTGAGACTACCCAGTGGCCTCTGCTAGCACCTTCCTTGTTGTGATGTGATTTTAAAACCCATGCATAACACATTCTATTCTCTCCCCATCCTGCCTGGTGTTAGCAATTGGGGCTAAACCACAGCACACAGTTTTCAAATTGCTCCTGCAATAATGATCCAGATCCTGCTTTCCTTCAGGTACCTGAAGATACCGGGGGGAGAGCGCATGTGTTGGGTTTAAGTCTATTACAGGGAAGTACAAATGGATTTTAGTCTTTCCTGTATCTCATCCTGTCCCCAGCTGTCAGATGAAAAGATAAACCAAGGATACTTCCCCAAACAGACTCACTTAAAAGCTTGAAAAAACAGCTGAAGTGTGCTGATTTTAAATTTTTTTTCTGATCTAAAAAATTCAGTTTCTAAATTCTGTATCATATCATTCTTGGCTGCCTCTCAGGCAGATTCAGGATGCCCCAAACAACTCCAATGGCACTGAGGAAAGCAGAGTATAAAGGACAATACAGAAACCAGCACAAAAGCCTTGAACATTCTATTTAAAGTGACTTTATTAAAACATTGTTAATATAAAATGTGACCAAGTACAATTTTTTTTCCATAAGAATGTTTAATAAAAACATATTCAAGAAAGAAGGAGCATCAACTCTTGTCGAAGCACAGGAAAAACCTACCAGGATAAGTAAAAAGTTCTGCAGCATGTTCTACCAGCTGGTCCCAGTGTGTATTAGGGTTGAGTTAGCTGATGGAAGAGACAAGCAGCCCAGGTTCTTCCCTAAGAAACTTCAAGGTATTTAGCAGAGGTTTAAAGTAACACTCCTCAACAGCAGGAGACTTTGTTTTGAGATCTTCTCAAATCAAAGAAAGATTAGAATGTGCATCTTCATGTTGGATTTACAACTTTTTAGCAGCTGAATGTACAGAAAATTAGATTCACTGGTAACTGTAAACCCCAGGACTAACATTTGTTAGCTTTGAAAAGGAGGTGCAAGTCAATACTAATTATACACCTAAAGAATTTGTGCTGAAGTTCTAAGCTATATTAATGTTGGATGCTTGTAGCAAATGCTTAAAAAGTGCAGCTAAGAAAAAATCAGCAGTAAAGTCCAGGCTGGTAACAGCAAGTATTTTCTGAACTGCTGAATGCAGAGATAATACCCATGAATTACAGGAGTTTGTACATCTCAGGAAGCATGTAAAGAAGCTTTCAAAAGTGTATAAATAAGACTATACAATGACTTCTACTCTGTGGCAATCTTCCTCTTCAGCTAAGAAACCTTTTAAGAAAACACTAGAAAAATTGGAGGTTTTGGGCTTGGTGGTTCTACATTTTTGTGTGTGTGGGAGGGAGGCAGGGTCAGGGGGGATAGCAGCCAGCAATTTCCTTCATCAACAAGTAAGTTTTAATGCTCTATCAGCACACTCTGCTTGTTCACAGCAAGCAGTTCACCAATTAGAGGCAAGGATTCTTCCAGGACATTGCAAACTTCCTGTAACAGGCAGAAAAAATCCTGCTGCATCCAATCCTGCACATTTAACTGCCCCTGGCACTGAACCAAATGTCAAGTGCTAATCCATGAGAAGCCTAGCACAATTATGGTCTAGGAGATGGTGACCTTCTTATAGCCTTGGCTGGGACCCATTAGAGCCCTGTGTTTTGCCTTCTACCCCAAACAAATGCTATGGGACTATTGCTGAGGTAAAGGGAAAAGTCAAACCTTTGGCATTGGAGCAGACCAGTCACTGGCTGTGCGTAGGGGAATTAAGGCTTCAAGGTGAGGTAAACACAGTGAGAATCAGTGTGTAAATCATGCTGCATTTCAGAGACGACAGATTCAAACAACAGCTAGTCTTGTTCTCTACGTTTTAAACACCAAAGATCATTCAAAAGCAGAACTGGAGCCAAGACAGCCGAGGGCCACCTTGAGTTGCCTCTCTGCACCTGGGGAACAAACACAACCCAGATGTTGAACGCTAAAGAGAATGTATTCACAAGGAGGAAAAAGCACCAAAGTTGATGAGTCCTTGAGACGATAAGCTGCTTAAAAAACAAAAAAAGCCTTACACTGCTATGACCTCCCATAAACATAGTGGTTTCCTGACACAAAGGTAATTTACACTCTAGAAATGCTGTAGTTCCAGCACTACTATTATGAAGAGTTATGCTCTGGTAAGGAGGCAGTGAAATTGTTAGGCTTGTGTTCCCTGAAGAATTTCTCCAATTCATTAGGTGTTGTCCCATTCCCATCGACCCACCCCCAAGTCTTTAATCCAGAGACCAGAAACACCTGTCATTGCCCCAGGTCATTTTTCTAACACTCCTATGTTACTTTAGCAGATTTGTAGGGTACAAACACAGTGCTTCTTTGGATCCATCATTTTGGCAATGCCTTTGCCCTCTTCAAAAGAAAAGTGTTTTCAGTGAGTGGTACAAAAGTTACTTTCAAACTAAACAAAATCTAGAAACCCATGCAGTTCTTCTGTGTGCTTGTTTTTTTCATACTGTTTTGGCTAATTATTTGAAATATGGAATTATTTTCCTATTTGGAACCATTGCACGTGCAACACTATTTCTCACAAGCCATGCTAGCAAGGTTTTGACTGAAAACAGCAATCTGGTCCTGTAGGTTCCATTTCTAGGATACAAAGACTCTCATTTGTGTTCCTTTAACATGTGTATGGTAACTTCTCCCATCCTCTCAACACAGTAGCTACTAAAAATCTTAACAGATATTTAAAAAATATCCAAATGAAACCACACTTCTATCACTGTTTAAAAAACAAAAACGCATACGGTATTACAAAAGTTTATACAAAGGCAACATTTAAGAGTTTGAAAGTTACTTCTAGAAAAAGACACAAATGCTAGTAAATTAACATACAAGGAGAAAGGTATTCCATTCCTCCCTCAAAATTGGTTTGATCTATTTTGAAGTATCTTTTACCAGTTGTCTAGAAAATCAAAGCCAGTCTTCAAGATAACATTGCTTGTACTAGTCTGCAAGGGAAAGAAAAAGAAATAAGACGTTAATTATGTTATTACAGACTCAGTATTTGACTCCCTATCTACAAAATAAAGTTTAAAATGTTGTCTGCCAATATTTTGAGGGTCTCGAGAGCCTTGCTCTAAGACACCTAAGAACCTACACCATAAAATGCTAGACATGGAAAAATATTCACAATGACCAAAAAGGCAATTCCAGATACAAATAAAATTCTTGTTGTGGTCTGCAAGGCAAAATGCTATTTTTTTCCCTTATGGAAAAATTCCTAAAGACTGAATTTTAGACTAGAGTGGGAATTGCAGAGAAGGAAATAAACACAGAAAGCAAGCACTGCTAATTCAACACATTGCCAGTTGCAATTACAGCCAGTTGTTTCCAGAAAGCTTCAGTTCAAACTTCGATGACAAGTTATTTACTAGGCTATCAAGAACATGCTCACTCCTGCAGTGCTCCACTTCTAGCCACAACATTTAAGGTGACTTTAGTGTTCAGGAAAAGTATTTAAGTGACACAGATGAGTCTCTGGATTGTCTCCCTAGAGCACGGCTCTCTTCCCCAGAACAGGGAAGATAATCCAGAAAAGAGGAAACAAAATTCTGTCATATCTTCTCTGCTACCCTGTTCACATTTTGACATTGGAGGGTTGTTTCCCACAGGTTTTTCAAACTGTTTCACTTATCTTGAAAACATTCACAAATGAATTAAAAATAAAAAATCATTAATTTGCAGGAAAACACAATAAAGCCTTTAACTAAAAGTAAAGGACTACCATGGTCACAATTTGTAGCAAAACAGCTCAGGAAGTGTTATCCCTTAGCTTCAGAAAAAAAAATAACTAAACATAGGGCTCCAAATACTGAAGTGGCATAATTATTTTTCTCTTCTAAGTGCTGCTACTTATTTCTCCTGCAAATAGTTACCTCATCCTGCATCTTCTGACTTTACATCATCTTGTTCAGAATTTAAACAAGCACAGGGAAATATAGTGGAGAAAAAGCTATGTGATGTGCTGAAGGTGTACAGCAGTGTGTCAGGCAATTGCCAGAGAGATGCCATGGATTCCAAACAGAACTGCACAGCTCTGTTTGAAGAAACACTCCTCTGCTCTACTTCACAGTCTTCAGGCTTCAGATTTCTTTTCTTCCCTTCACTATGTCATATCCTGCTGTTCCCTTTCTTTTCTCACAGATCAGCATCTGCTTTTTAAATAGCTTCAATTGGCTATTGAGCTGCTTAAGGTTATTTTTTGTTGTTGGGTTGTTTGGGTTTTTTATTAACAAAACATTGAGAAGTCTAATTCTGGAAGCTCATTCTATTTCTATTTTGGACTTTAAGAGAAAACATATTTGAAAGCAGCCCAGCTGCCTGGGACAAAGCACTGGGAAGTCGCTGTCAGGCTACTGCTCAAAACAGCTGAGAAACTAGTTTGCCATTCACCACTATGCTGTGTGTACCAGTAAGTATCCTAGACTCCAGTGTATCTCCTTTCCAAGTTAAAAACCTTGTTCTTTCCATTAAGTGTTTTGCTGTTTCAAAAACAAAACCCAATAAAAACCTGCACAACCTCTTTTATACCTGATATAGCAAGGTCTTTGCCCCAAATTGTTAAGTACCTTGCTGTCCATTAGTCACTGGGTGCCTCTGTCAGCATTTTTGGTGTTACATTTAAATTATGCCTTTATCCTATGTGCTAAAAAAATACTTACTTGAAGTTAACATGTTGGTTAAATAGACTTCTTCACATTTGAAGGACAAAGAGTCTTCTAGCTTTGCTACGGTTTAATGCTTTATGGAGTCCCTGATCTTCCAGAGTGGCCCTGTCAGATTTTAGTGCGCTCTACAGTTTTTAAATCTAAGGACAGTGATATATATAGCAGTACTAACCTGTCCAGGCATTTGTGGGTCTGTAAGTATAGTACCATCAGTATCTTCCTTGTTTGTCCTAGAAGATGCCAGATCCTGTGGTGGGTCAGGAAGAAAGAAGTCATCTAGAGAACTAGTAGGGAGTTGAGTAGGTCGAGGTTTCTCCCATTCGAGAGATACAGAAGGTAGGCTGGGGGCGACAGACTTTTCTGGTTTAGTTACACTGGACTTCTCAGCTTTTGCCATCTCCTTTGCAGTAGACTCTTGTCTGTAAAAAGAGGGAAGGGGTTTCTCTCCTTTCTCCATGGACTTGATCTGGCTGGGGGTCAGGGACTGGAAGTCAGACTTGTCTCCTTCAAACTTTGAGCGCTCTGCGTTTATTTTCCAGAACGAGGACTCCTCTTCCTTTCTGGGTGCTATCAACCCATCTGAGCCAGGGGTCTTATTGGCCTGAGAGGATTTAGGGACTTGGATGCCAGGTGCTGCTTTGACAGGCTGCCTCTGTTCATTTTGCAACTGGGCACCACCTTGTTCTTGTATGGACAGAGATGCAACACTGAACTCCATCTGACTCTGTTCAGGGTTAAAGAAAAACAGTATTTTAAAGGCCTTCACAAAGATACAGTTTTAACCTCCTGTCCTTGATGCATATAGGTAACACCTTTGCCCACAGCACGGCAAGTCTCAGATGACAGATACCACAGCAAAGCTGGCTTATTTTCTCAAGTAATGTCTATCTTTGCAGTGACATAAAAATAATAAATTTTTAAAAGTCTGAACTGCAAGCAAACATAAGAGTCCTAGACTTGCTGCAGAGGAGTCAGAGAAAGCAATCATATTCGAGTTACTCAATGCCATCCAAGGTAGCAGTGCACAGCACTAAAACATTAGAATAGCAGCACTAAAACATTAGAACAGCTGCAGATGCATTTTGAAAGTCAGAGATGCTTTACATGAAAATATGAAGCAAAAAAAGCTTTACAGTACAGTTTAAAAGGCAATCTTCCATTACAGTCTATGAAACAGTTGGCTACAATTCCATTTACTTTCAAGATAAAGGATTAGATGTAATGGGTATGCATAGGTAAGGTGTTTTACAGTTCTATTGCCCCTCTGAAGGAAGAGAAACAACTCCAGCAGGATGAGTTCTTCATCTATTCCAGAGCCTTGTTTTGTTTTTACTTGCAGTGCAGATAGCTGTACTCATTTCTGAGAGGTAACACTGGCTCAAGGAAGCAAGGGACCACAGTTAATGCATTATACAGGTCTTGCAAAAGCCACCCAAAAGCGAACAGTACTTCAAAGTGTTCATTTTACTTACCACCACTTCAGTAAAATGATGGCCAACTAGGTGGACACTCTTTAGGCTAATAAAAGTTAAGTCTTATTTCACTCTGGAGAAACATGTAAGCATATTTAGGAGCACAGCACCATAGCAAGTGCTAGGAAAGAACAATCTAATGTCTAGATTTTTGTTGGTAAAATGGAACAAAAAATGTGAAGAAAAAAAATGCATTTCCCATTCAAGTTGTGCTGCTGTCATTATGGGTCTCATTAGGTTTGAAACAATTCAGAGGACTTGTAGCTTTTGCTACAAATGGTTAATAGATAGTTCACTACAGATTTGTGATGTTTTTTCTCCATTCTGCTTCATTACCCAGCCTTTCCTGAATAAAACTGCAGTAGCATCTATGGGCCTGAGCCTAAAACAAGCCCTAGTTGCATATCATTTTCACTCAAAGTGTTTGATCTTGAGTCCTACATCATTGTGCATGTTAAGTTCAAAGGGACTCCAGATCTAGCAGGTCTCACACGCCTGGTAGTTAATATTCAGAAACTTTGCATCAAAGAGCAACTGTTAACACAGCAACTGATTATTTATTTATAAAATAATTTTTTTAAACAGTCAGCAGCTGACTACACATAATTTGATTCATGCACTAACATCTGACCTTTCTAAAGAATGAGATGCATTATTTTTCCAAGGTTATAGGCAAGGAAGCACCAAGATCTGTGTTTTCATTAAGAATATACTGTGTTATCAAAAGATGCAGAATATAAACAAGCTGTAAGTAATTATAGCTCAGCTAGAATATGGTGAGTGCAAGGATACATGCAACTCTTACCAAACAGCTCAACACGCCACCCTGTCTGCAAAAATCTCAGGAAAAACCTTAGTGCTACAACTTTAAACAAGCCATGACATAAAGTTTAGAGGAGTAGATTTATCCTTAAATAAGCTCTGCATAAACAAACTATAGAGGCAATGGTGTTGAGGATTATTTACAGTGACTGCACTCCCTATATTAAAATATAGGGATTTATTTCTCTAAGCTCACTTGGCAGTACTACTGAATAGCAATTTACCACCCTGAAGTTAAGATGCTTTAAGACTTTAGAACTGATAAAATCCCAGCTTAAAAATCCCACAATATAAAATTAGACCTGCACTTACTTTCCCAATACCCAAGAGAAAAAATAAAAGACAGCTTAAAAAAATCCCTCCATCTTGGAAGACTTAAATGGTGCAAGACATGTCATGTAGGAATTAAAACAGTGCTACTTTTTATCCTTCAACAGTCTGCCATCTTCTGAGTAGCCTGGCCCAGGGCTCACATTAGAGATGACAGTAGCTAAAGGCCACCACAGCAGCAGTCACTTTCAGTAAAATGATTCCTTTGCCCCCAGCCCCAGAGAGAGTTCCCTCAGGAAGGTCAGTGCCCAGAGGACAGAGGTGCCATCACAGCCTCAATCCACCAGTGTTGGAAATAAAATTCATGAAAAACTAAAGGGGAAGAGAAATGTGGGTCTGTTAGAACAAAAATTAGAAAAGGTAAGCCAACGAGATGGCTTTGTATTTCAACAGCAGCAAGACAGACAAGCAAAGCCAGGCCTCCTGAGAAGTTCTTAGGCTGTGGAGCAAAAGCCACTGCCTGTGGTGGTATTTTATGTCCTGTTCTATGGGTCCAAACATCAGCTCAGAGGTTTGGTTTGGAAGTGGCACATCACTTCCAGTGCAGAGAAGAGCATGGCACTGCAGAACAACTTCAGGCAGTTGCAACCTTTCCAACCTGCTCATGGATGCATGTTCTGGAGAGGATGTCCTCTTTGTCCTTTTAGAGTGGAGATCATGGGGTGTACCTTTCCATTTCAAAAGACAGGACCACCTGACATTTAAGATTGCATATTTGTATCACGCTATGCTTTGGAGAACAGAACAGCTCCTAACCTGACAGGGAATAATCCGAATGAAAATACTTCTTCAGAAGTTTGTGTTCTCCCACAAGGGAGGCAAAGAAGACAAGACCACCCCGACAGGTTCTGAAAGCACTGCATCTCAGCATGGTGTAAATACAACTCCAAGAGGTCAGATGTACAGTTCTGCTTCCAGCATTTAGCCTGAGAAGCCAAGAACGTCTGTGGACCAGTCACAAGTTATTCTATTTTCCTTGAAATACATCATGCTTCTGTTTGACTTTCGAGGTTACTTAACACATCTAAACCCCTAAGAAAAGTAACTGACGAAAGCAAATGATTAATAGGCAATATCTTTTGACTCAAAAGTTGGCAATAAAACACCCTCCCCTCCAAGGAAAATCAAAACAAACCCACAGAGCAGCAGTACAAGTAGGAAGATAATCTCACATAGCAATAGACCCACGCGTAAAACACCCTATGTCGACATCTAAGTAATGAGTAGTACTGTACACTCTAATGAGTCACTAGATACTACAAATGCGCTTTTAATTAGTGTTCTGCTCTCAGTTTCTTACATCAGATGGCAAATTGGCAATTGGTTGGGTCAGCAGAAGAAGGAAAGAAATGGCATTTAAAAGAGAGTTACCCAAGAAGACCCCAAACATGTCCTTTTCCTTTAGGCTTGACAGCCATGAGAATATCTTGATGCACATCTCTCCTGGCCCCAGTCAAACTCAGGGCAGCAACTCACTTGTAAAGGGTCACACTGTGTATTTGCTTTCCTGAGGCTGAGGCAGAGTTGCTGTGAGCTGCAGCTCCACACTTAGCATTTGGCAGCAAAATGGCACTGGTGGCACTCTACTGGCTGCATCTTTGGGAAGCAAACACTGAACACTGGGGTGTGATTCCATAGTCAAAAGTGAATTGTCATTTAGGCACAGTTTGCGATTCCAATTTTAGGGTTTCAGTCCCCTGCTTCTTTCATGGATTTTTGTATGCCTTTGAATGAGCTGCAGTTTCTGTACTCATAATTCTCTATCTAAGGAATAAAATAAAAATATTTTCTTTTTCCTACCATTTGTCCAAATTGCATTTCTGGGAACTGTTCAGCCCAGAAAGTCTCCAGAGTTTACAGACAGGCTAGTACAGTCCCAAGTGTAATTTCTAGAAGCTATTGGAATTCAAATAAAAGCTAATAACAGCAGCAGTATTTTCAAGCTATTTGCAAGAGCAAGTCTTTCTCAATACAAGAGAGAGGGGGGAGAGAGTGCATGTGAGAGGATGCAAAAAGTAGCATTTTGAGGCAGAGCAAACACAGAAGTCTGTGTTCTTTTCAGTCTTATCCCTCTGGTCCCAAACCACTGCAAGGGTTCAAATAAAGGACGCCCTGTCACAACCAATTTTTTGTATAATAAATATAAATAATACTATAAATTGCAGGTTTTTTGGAAGTTGCATGTACATCTTTCCTTAAAAAGACCATATCAAGTTGTTTAGGAATTATGTTTATTGGATTAAAAAACTCAGACCTATCTTCAGTCTCAAGGCAGTGATAATCCACCAAACCGTGATATTGTCTGTATATGCTCATGGGAAACAATGTATTCTGAGAAGGAGGCACCACACAGTAAGAATGTCACCATTTAATAATATTGTGTAAAATCAGGTCTCAGCTCGTAAGTCGGTATTAAAAACAAGATGACCACAAAGAACCCAGGAACTTTTTAAGCATCTTATTCACTCATCAGGAATGTGTAGTATTTTACTAAGCAGTCACGCAAATACAGCCAAAACAAATTGTTTTGCTTGGCAGGCTGAAAAATCCAAATTGTTGAGACAAAGAGTACAGAAACACTGTCAAAAGCAACTTGCTTTAAGCACAGCCTGAAAAATGCAGAGGTAAGAAAGTCAACCTCAAAAGATTCAGAAGACGACTTTCCTTTGCTGAATGGACAAACCCAAAATAAATATGGAACCTAAAGTAGTTGCAGTTTTTGCTTTGTTTCCTGTGCACACTGTGGGTGTTTTCAGGATCTTTTCCGAGTCAGAAAGAAATCCTTAGGTCAGCAGAGGCAAATTGCAATAGCAAAAAATAGAGCAAAGCGTTCGAAACCAATCTAAGTAATTTTAGTCCATACAGAAAGACAATGACAAAGACACATAGCATAGTTTTGGAGGAAATTCCAGGATCTACTCTTTGGTGATATAAACTGCATTCTAGTCTGCCACTGTGATTGGCTAGCCTGAGCAAACTCATACTGACAGTATCTGGTATGTGCCTGTTTTATGCTCAAAAACAACTGTCTAAAGATTGATGCAGGTAACGGAATCCTTACCTGAGATCACTTGGCCATGCAGAATAAAACAAACCTTGAACACAGCTTCTATTACCACAAATAGGGTTTTTTTTTTTCTCAGGAACTAACAGTCAACAGTAGTTTTACAGCACTGTGTTTTAAACATATGTAGTCTAAATCAAAAAGGGAAGGCTAATCCCAAAACCTCAGGGATCACTCTTCTTTCCTTCCAAGGAAGCACTGCCATTTATGCCAGCTTGATAAAAATAATCACACCAAAATGTAGTTTGTAACAAACAATTATATCAGGCTGCTAAGGAAGGAAGGAAAAATTATTTTCTGCCACACTCTTCCTATTTAAAACAAAACAAAACAAAAATCCCAAAAACTAAGACTTGTTCAAAGAAGGATCCTGAAGACTCCCTTTTAGTTGCAGATAAAGGAAACAATTTGCAAACCATCTTTTTTTATAAATGCAGCAGAGGGGCTTTTTCTTCCTATATCATTCCTGGGGTTAGATCATTTCTGTAGTAATATAATTAGGGAATTCAGACAGGAGGCAGCAAGCAGATTATTGAAGGGATTGAAGTTTGATACTTCCTCAATTTGCTTTTTTGTGGTTTGTTTTAAACACACTTTGAAGGCTTCTCTTTCCCACAAATATCTGAGGGCCTGTTGAAAATAGCAGAGAGCTGGCAACTATTCTACCTGTGTCAAGAAAAAGAAATTTTTAGATATGCATGTGTCAATTTCAAGCATTTGGAATAAAACCTATTTTCGTTAACAGCATGAATTAGATTCCAACTTACTCCCATGCTGCTCTGTGCATTCAGTGTGTTACTGAGGTGGCAGACTGAAATGATATTTTCTGCCCACTACTAAACTAATAAGGAAAAAAAAAACCCACACCAAAGCCATGAAGTTCTGAGTTCAGGAAGCACTGCAGATAAATTTTATTTCCAAAAGAAGCCATGATTCTTGTTTTCCATTTATATCTTGAGGTCCTTGCTAAGTTTCACTGAATTTTTACTTCAAACAAACCAAGAAACCTCAAAGGCTAAACTCAGCCAAAATGTCATCTTTCATCTCACGTAAACCTGAAGCCATAAATAGAATGCCCTGAATTCATAAACCTGGCTAGAGCTCCAGTTAAAAATGTAACCCACATTTCAAGACATGCTGTCCATGAGGGCTCCACCCATGAACCAAATCGCTCCCTCCGATTCAGTTCCTAGTTTTAAAATGTCAGCCTCTTTGCAGTGCCAAGAGAATTCACTGCTTCCTAGTAGTTTTTCTTCTGAGAAGTGCTATTGTTATCTACTAAAAATATTATTTTAAATGCTGTCTAACAGCTAACTCAGCAGTTTACATTGCATTTCTACTTTGCCTTGCTTGAGGGTTTAAAAATAAAGAGGTAAGATAAGAACTTGAAATACACAACAAACAGCTAAAAATGGTGGAGATATTCATGCAAGTGTTTGCTGTGATATGAACAACTTAAGCCACACCTCACATTTGTATTTAAAATGAGAACACAGAATGTTTACTTCTGACACAAGTGAAGTTATCAAGCCCTTCAACGATGTTCTGCCCCAAATTACAACTATTTACTACACCATTCTCTGGGTAAGTTTGACAGCCAGGAAACTAGGGAATCCATTGCACTAGCTACCGTGAGAAAAATTTGTCTGTACCTAATCAACTAGAATCCCCACTGGCATCACTCTAACAGCTGAGAGGCTTCAACTCAGGAGAAAACATTCCCTCCCCTCTTCCCTGCTCCTCTCAGTTTCCCTGATGTTAGTTACGGATAAATACTGATTTTGCTGCTTTATTCTTCCAAGTCTCAATGTTAAAAAATAAAAAAGCCTATTGGTTTTACTGATTTACATCTCTACTTTCTTCTGCTCTGTAAAAGCCACATTCCCTTCCTTGGGTAAGTCTGAGCACACATATGCAATAACATGCTAAAAAACCCAAACCAAACAAAAAACTCTGCATTAAAGGGAGAAGAGGGAAAAGAATACTGTGGAAAGAATAACCCACCCTGGGGTAGAGCTCATGGAATGGAAAGAGCCTGACAGCCTTAAATAACAGTGGGAACAGATCTGACTCTCAAGACACGGAATGTGCATTACAACACATCCACCTTATTGAACAGCTCATTCACGTTTTCTTACACGGGATCAACTGAGTAAGGACACCTTTTCCTCAGCTGGTACCTCATGGAAAGTTTGACTTCCAATATAACCTTATAAAAGTACTGGTTAGGGAAGAGATCAAAGAGTAAGCACTATGCAAGATCACCTTTAGAAAAGGAAGATTCAGCAGTCAAGGGATTTGGCTGAAAGATTGATACAATACGAGGCACTGAGGAAAAATCAAAAGGAAGAACCCACAGAGACCATCCAACCCACACCCTGTAAAACCATGCAAAATGGATTCTCCAGAGTTTCGCTGAAAGAGAAGGTCACACAACTTTTCAACCTAAAGATGAGGCACAGCTTTTATCTCTGGTCTGCAAGAAGGGAGAGGGGAAAGAGGGAAGCAGAGCTTGATGGGCTGCAGCAATTACTTCCAAAGCAACCTCCTCCCCACCTCACCTCTCTTCAGCAGCCACATGGGCGTTCCCATATCATTCTGTGACCCTCTGCTCATTGCAGTCAAGGATCAAACTAGCACATCTATTCACTTCTGTACCCCATTTTGAGACACCAGGAGGATAGTAGAAATTACCTTAACCAGCAAGCGATAAACCAAGGCTGGGTTAAAATCCACTTCACTAGACATACAAGTGTTAAAAAGAAAAGACAACTATCAATTAAAGAGAAAATCCATTTGAGCGCAGATGCATCTCATCATGGATCCGCAGTCAATGAAGTATGATCTGCAGGAAGTTCATGTATTCAGAACTTATAAAATCTTATCAAGATAGAGCTTAAGCTTTAAGATAAGACTGTCTTATCTTTAACATAAGACAATTACAGCTGCCATGTTCCCAAACCTGAGTTTTTGGGTCTGCACAGAAAAGTAGGGGAGAGACAACACCACTGTCTCCAACATATGGTTTATTTCACCTTATTGTCAATGAGATCCATACTTTTCTCACAGCTTTTCCTTTCTTGTCAGCTTCACCCAAGTACACCCACGTTAAAGGCTCTTCAATATTATACTAAAAGCGAGTAGCTGCTTCTTCTAAGAGTCCTGAAAGACAGGAGTGCTTGCCTGAGCTACCAGGCTCCCACTGCAGGAAATCCTCCAGTGGTTCCTAAACCATCACAGCTTAGAAGGGAGTTTTAAGGCAAGTGAAGACTGGCATTTTCTCTTAAAATGCAGCACTGTAGGCTCCTGGGACCCAGGAGTTACACCAAGTTATAGGTTAATCAGCTTCTGCAAAGCACAGATGGAGTGCTAGCTACAGGCAATGACCTTGAGCAGGAGGCCTAAGTCTAGGGTCAACGGGATTAATTTAGTATTCACTGACATTTCCAAATAATTACTCTGCATTAGGCTAAGATTATATTCATAAGCTCATACATGATTATCTACATAGTTCAAGGGCAAAAAAATCCAAAAAGAAACAGGGGAGAAGCAGCTTTCTCTGGCAGATAAAGCCAGAAAACATAAAGTCTGAAATGTGTGATTAAATTAACGTGCCCAACAGACCCAGTAGAGAAAGGCAATGAGCTGTGGTTTTGCTCCAGAATTTCTTGAACAAGAAGAATTAAATTTGATTTCCCACCACAGATATGACACAACTATATTTCCTCATGCTGCAGGTTCAGAAAGTGGGAGAACTCTGGTCCCATATTAGCCACTACAAATGATGCTTTAATAAAATACCAGAGGTAAAGTGAGGGGCTAAAGAAACAACACACCAAACCTTAATCCAACCCACTGCAGAAAAATATGTTATTTTTTGAAGGAGCTGCTTTTTGGAGAGGAAATAACATAATGCTTCTAGCATAGCCCCAGGTTAACAAGTCTCATTGCAGTTGTTGTAGGACAACATTCTAGTTCATAACGAAACGATAAGACAAGCTTTAAGAAAGAACCCAATGAAAACACTAGATACCTGCACCTTTCTGACCCCATTTCCTAGCTACTTTACTCCTGACTTCAAAAGTGAAACGCAGTTACATTTATACAATAACTGAGACACTGGTTTTACTAAACATGGAAAGCTGATTAAAAAGTTTGCAACAAAAAAGCAAATAATTTGTAATTAATCCATTTTATACCTATACTCAAAGTCAGAACATTAGTTCATCAATTAGTTAGCTCATTAGTTCATTTGAATGAATGAACATCCATTCATTTTGTGTTTCTGTTGATGTACATCAAAGCATACTGGCCCTGTTTCATTTGCAGGATGGTCACTTTATACAGCTCTGACAGAACAGAGGTGACATTAGCCAAAAAGAGGACAATAAATGCACAAGGACCATTATAAAATGACAAACCAACATTAAAAGTAGAATTGCTGCATATTTACCTTCGTTTCCCAGGAGAATGGAGCCGAGTGTTCATCTTGCCAAGTTATGTCCTGAAATAAAATTCAAGAATGATTAAAATCTGAAAAGCAACTTTACCTGCTCAGAAGCATCACACAGATGACATGTTACACTGCTGGAACTCTAGCAACCACTACCACGGAACTTGCTAAAAAGTGAAAGCACTATTTACAGATGGCACTGACTGCATTTTAAGACTGACTGAAAGCAAGTTCTCTGAGGGGAAGGTTATCAATATTCTACCAATTTAATCTACAAAATACATGAAGGTTTAACCTGGTCTAAACTTCTTGAAATGGTTTCTACAAATAGCTTTAAAATCCATAATATTTCCAGTTTTCTACTAGGCATTTCTTTGGTAGCCACTAGCAACATACAGGGACAGAAATAACAAAAAGAGAAGGGGCCTTAGGGAAGCAAAGTCCCATTTCCTCCCCCCAGCAGACCAAAGAGCACATGTGCAACCAGGCAGTCAAGTGGCAGCGCAACAGCCGCGCAGCCATCGGGCCAAGCCACAGCTGGATCCAGCCCTGACAAGACACATCATCACACCACTTCAGTGATGATCTGTCTGAAAAAAGTATTCAGCTGTGTTGAAAGAATGACACAATGTTCACAGAGTAAAATCCCAACCTGAAATTGATTCTTTTGAGAAGCTGTATTTCTGAAAACAAACATAATTTGAGAAATTCTGGGCAGAGCAAGTCAGTTTCCCACTTCAGAGAATCTGATGTCTTCTCAACCATCATTGCACTTGTTGGCACCTCAACTTGTAACCTCAATCCAGCACAGGCAAGCAAAAAGCTCTTGAAATGAATTAACATTATTTTGGCACCAGTTCTTTAAAAGTTCTGGTAGAGATAAAATCTATGACTTCCATAGATTATTTCAAAAGATGGAAGTAGGAGACACTTGCTAGGCAGGAGCAGTTCCCTGAAAAAACAGGAACAAAGATTTTTTTTGTCTTAGAAGGATGACTCACTGTATCTTGGGCTGCACAGCCCAGCACACCTCAGAGCCAGTACGTCTGCGGAGCTCTGTCCACATTCAAGAGATCTTCCGTAAGATATAGCAAAGGATAAAATAGGATAAGACATGGTTTGAGGATATAAACCTGCAAGGGTTTGATGTCTGTGGTTATTTAAGTGCACTTGAGGCTAGGATGAAGGAAAGTTGACAAGTTCTGTCCATAGTCAGGGAAGAGAAGGAGGTTTGTGCCTCTACCTCTTGTGCCTTCACACAGAGGATACGCAGAGGAGCAAGCGAGAAGCTGGAAAACAACACAGTTCAATAGTTTCCTATCTAGTGCACCTGATTCGCATTTATTGCCAATAAAATTGGAGAAATAACTTCGTATTCTGTAGAATAAACAACTTCTTACACATTTGAAGAAACCAGAAGCCAAAGAACCAACTATTTCAATATTAACAAAGGTAAATTGTGAGTGGAAAACCTAGATTTATCATCAACACAGATTAGAAGAGATCCATATCTGATCATCTTTTGTTTTCAGAACACAACAAAGCCTTCTTCTAGAAAGAAAGCAAATAAATAAACTCTTGTTCACCAGTGTTAAAGAAAGAACCTATTTGTAAGAAATGAGGCCTCATGCAACATATTTCAGAGCTGAAAAAGACAAGAGAGAAAGAGAAAGAGAGGCAAAAATCTGGTCATACACTTGATTGTAACAACCAGCTGCAAAGTATACAAAAAAGAATCACAAACTATGTTTGCTGTATGTAGACAGCTTGTTGCAAAACAGTATCTGAATTTCAAAATGGAAGACTCTGGTAGTAACGTGCCAGCGCATCTGACACGAGCATTGCTCAGTGCAGCTGGCAGCAACCGGGCAAGTTGCAAACCCACCAACAAATGCATATTGGAAGCATTATCAGAACAGGTTATTGGGGCTTAACTGCATTCAAAAGTTGCCCTGCAATTTTTGCTTTTTAAAAAGCACAAATCTCTAACAGGTCCAACGTAAGTTACTGCTGTCTTAACTATTTGTTGCTTTAAAGATTTTTTAAGTAGGGAGCGAATGATCTTAAGGCTAAGCAAGACAAGTACTGTATTTGCCTTCAGGTAGACACATCAAGCTTCCCTATCAAAAAATGGTGAATGAAGCTAACCAAACTCTCTTACACATCTTTCCTCCACATAAAATGTTTACCACCTCCTAACGCATATGGAATTTTCTTCAATGAAAAGCTTGGTTATTTCAAGTCCAACTCTTTGAGCTGCCGAATACTACTCAAATATTGAATATCCATATTTTACAAAAAGAACTAAGAAAAAAGTCAGACCTTAAATCCATGTGCCTGTCACATGCTTATGGATAAAGAGGGACAGTACTAAGAGAACAGTGAGAACTTGTTGCAAACTGAATACCTAAACTACCTTTCACAGAACTGAACAGAGAGGATCCAGTGGCATCAACTAACACCAAATCAGAAGCTGAACCCAGGCTGACCACTAGAGCAGGCAAACGGTGGGAACCTCCCACATACTATTGTTTTTCCACCTATTCTCCTCATAATTTATGGCATATTTCAAAAATAGTCCATTTATATTACACTCATATTCAATCCTTTTATTTCCAGATTTTCCTCTGCTCAGTTAACCTTCTTTTCTACTGCTATGGGCATTAGACATAAATGGAGAAATGCCAGTAACTGGAGGCTTGATGGGAAAGAGGAAGCTCTGTTTGAAGGTCGCAGCCTCCAAAAGCTCTCGGTCGGAAGGACTAGGCTGTCTAGACACAGAAAATTATGGCAAAGCAACAAAGTCTCCCGGTGCTGGGCCCATGTGCAATGATAGCAACTCAGTCTTAGGTACACAGGACAATACTTCTTTCACAGGGCCGTTAAATGTTAGCTTAGAAGAGATGAAAAACATGACTTAGACCACAAAACTCTAGAAAACGGAACAAGGGAGAGAGGCAAGAGATGCTGGGTTTTTCTAGGAGGAGGTTTTAGAAAATACCAAGTCCTGCAACCCCATCAAGGTTATCGAGCTGATATATTCTGGGGTTCATTCCCACTAGGAAGTCTTAACTTGACACCATGAGGCTGATGGTGGACACATAGTGGTTGGTGTAGTGTTTCCAAGCATCCTCACCGTGACAGTGTGGTGCCCACTGGTACATCTACTAAGCAGAACTGGGTGCCACCCAACCCAACTTTGTGCTTGAGAAAAAACTGCTGTTTGGGAAATCAGGGAGCCCGATTCCAATACTTCTACTTCTTTCATCAAGCTTTTTGAGACTTTTAAAACACCTTCAGCTCTTTGACAGCAAGATGGGAGATTAAAAGAGCACTGTTGGTGTCCTGACACCAATTCTCTCTCAGAACTGTGTTCACAGTGCCTGCACAGCTTCAGTTAAGAACTCCATGACTGGTGATGCCACAATGAGGATAAGAGAACGCAATGCACGAGCAGTGGCACTCAGCTGACTCCAGGCACTTGCTAAGAGACACACATGGTGCTGCAGTGCTCTAGCGTTACGAAATGACTGGATCATGGCTGCAGGATGCCACGGTGCTGTTACTGCACATCTATTTTCTGTAACACCCTTCCCACACAGTCAACATACTGAAAGGTGTTTTGAAAATGTAAGAGATGCTTCTAGTTTGAGAACTTACAGTCCTGAGCTATGAGTTCAGAAGATAAATTTGGTGTGAGAAAATATGTATGGGAAAAGGTGGGGGCGAGAAAGAGGGAACCAACTATCCAGAGGTACAAGACCACTACATATATCCTCTTGGAGCACCTTATCAAAGTGATCACATGTATGAAAGTGGGACTGAAATGGTTAAGAGTCCTGGATGGGTAAATCAGTATCTTCAGCCTTCATCCTTGGCTTGCTCTCTCCCAAGTCCTCTAAAGAACACGAGGTGAAAGAGATCAACTTTCCATACTTAAGCAAGCACAGGTAGATCACTACAGATTTCAACATCAGTTAACAGGGAAGATGAGCTGTGGCTGGAAACATGAAGCTTTTGGGAGCAGGTGTAAGCAGGAACATCATCAGACCGAAACACTCTCACTGAAAGCGCTGCAACATCAACAAGTGATTCTGAGGTATGCAGACTACTCTCGCCTTGCCTCGGGACAACATACACCAGGAGACAGGGACAGCAGCCAGGACCAATCTAATTGCCCTGAGCAAGGGCTGGGTGACCAGGGTATGTGCAGCAGTTACATCTTACAAAGACAGCAATAGTACAGCTCAGTAAGCTGATGGACCATAAGACAGCAAGAAGATAAAGCTCTGTAGGCCAGGCATTCGCAAGCCTGGAAAGTTGAACTGACATGGCAAGAGACTGGCTGCAATGGCTCTGTAACAGCAGGACAAGGAGGAACAATTAACGAGCCAGGGCAAATGTCCAACAATCAGGTCCAATGCCAGCAAGGGAGCCAGGGGAGAGGAAGCTATCGGATGAAGAGCCAGGAAAGGCTCCAAGGCTCAATAGTGCAGTTGGAAGAACTAAAATGGAAATGGAGGATGCCAAAACGAGTGGAATTTCTTTTCTTCGGACAAACGATTTATATTAACTTCAGCTTAGAAGTCAAGGATGAAGTCAGTTGAGGCTGATGCTTCCAAAATTAAACACTCTGCATCAAGTATTCTGATGAACCATGCCTTCTTTGGTTAACAGCTACAGAAATGCTAACATTATGCATATTATAACTGCGTTTGGGGAGAAGAGGGAAAATAAAACAACTTGCCAAATTTCAGATGGACTCTCTAGCTGCTTTGTCGAGCAGGAATTTATTACTTCCATACAGTGTAGCACAACCACCTACAGCGTGCTTGCTTTCCTTCCAGATCCACATAATTCAAAGCAGAAAGCACAGCAGAGCTCTCTGGGACTGGGAAAGCTGAACATATTTACTTTCCACAGTCATTAACCTAAATTCTTTCACAACTGACTTCAGACTTAGGTTTCCTTTCACAGGTCGCTTGCACAACCAAATCTGTTGTCTTGTGACCTTCTGTACCTCTTTCTTCACCGTTACTATCAAATAT